TTTTTGCCAAACTGATGTAAATACCCTACTTAGTTTTATTTTTCAGATCTATTATTTTAAGTGAAGTTGAACACTTTTATCATATGTTTAAAAGCCACTTATAGATATTTTTGTTTTAGAAAGTTTGCCATAACCTAATCCAATCACAGAAAATTTAAAAAGCTAATAGAAGAGGGTGGTTAATATAGAACATCCTGCTTGACTTCAAGGAGAAAGATGAAGACAAGATCTGTGCAATAAATACTGGTCATTAAAAGTGTTTAGGCCAGAGAAGTAGACTCATAATCAGAACTGTGTTTTGTGAAGCTCTGGACAGTGTGGAATATGGGTTGGAAATGGCAAGACTGGAGAGAGGGAAATAAATTAGTTAAAAAGTTGTGATAATCTAGTCAAGAGACAATAGTATTCTAAACTAAGGCATTGCCAGAAAGAATGGAGATGATGAATCCAATTTGGACAGTAGTTCAGAAACAGAATCAAAAGAACTTGATGACCCAATAAATGACAGATATGAAAGAAGTAATGTAGGCAAATGAATGGATTGAAAAGAAAGGGAATTGGCCTCTAACATTACTAAACACCTACTAAGTAAGCGTTTTTATTAGTGTTATATATGTGTGTGTGTGTGTGTATAAATGAAAATTGAACAAATGAATTTAATACACGCATACATTGCAGTTATTCAATTTCACAGTAACCTTATTAGGGAACTATTATACTCTACTTAAATACTAAAACAACTAGAAAAGTTAAGTAATATGCAAAGTTTTTTAAAAAATGAATTGTCCCGATTCATATCAGAATTCAAAGTTAGACATATCTGACTGCAAAACCAAGGCTCTTTACACTATTCTAAGTTACCGAGGATTAAAAAGAAGATTTCGAGAGAAAAAATGATCTTACATCATGCAGGGGAGCAAACTGCCCACAACACTTGCAAAGCACCAAGAATTATTCCCTGATCCACCATAACATCAATTTAGTTTAAATATGACAATTCTCAGAGGAAGCTATTATAATTCACAGCTGTCTCTATTCTGAATTGACCAGGGTCACTCTCTTTACAGAAAAAAAACCTCTTCCCTTCCCTTCTGTTATTTCTCTGCAACTCATTTGGGAAAACATGTCAAATTGTAATAACTTTTGACACTGTAAACATAGTCATACTCAAATGTTACACAAAAATGCCTCACCAAGAAGATAATATCTTCATTAAGTATGTTGACTGTTAAATTGGACTGGGATTGTAAACACATAATTAACATAACTACTTTGGAAGAGTAATAGGCTGTTGGGGGCAGGGGCGGGGAAGCCTGATTATTTAAAACTGGATGTCATCTAGTATCTGCAAAGTAGACTCTATATTATTGCCTATCTTGGAAAAATCATGTATTTATGTTCACTCAACACTAATCAACTTGCTAGCTACCTTCTATATGCATTATTATTTTATTCTTAGTCTTTTAACTGGATAAATGATTTCATTATTATAACCAGCGAGTGTTTGTTGAGCCTAGCAAGCTAATTGATTGCATGACTGTTAGTCATTTGTTCCCAAAGCTAATTATACACTTCATATAGTCAATTCTTAACGAAGACAGTTTAAAAAAATGTAAACACTAAGCCAAAAATAAAAATATGAACAATAATATCTAACTATAAATAAATGAACATTAATTCTCCAGGTATTAAATTATGTAGTAAAGGTAGAGAAATAACATAATAACTCTTCAGAAAATTTACAAAAATACAAGTTTCAAGTTTCTCAAATTTAGACCAGGATAAAGAGTGAACTTTTTATGTCAGATCAGGCAAAACGAACAAACAAAAAACAAGACGGTAGAGGGGATTTGAAACCCCAAAAGGCTATTATCACCTTTGCAAACACCTGAAGAGTGAGCAGCATAGGAAATCAGCCCTGTTTTATAAGAAAATTCAGACAGAAAATTAGAGGGCAGAGTCCACCAGGAAAGAGAATTCCTAAGACATGTACCTTTGTTTGAGCTACCCAGGAAAAGGGAGTGAGTCTTGATTATCCATGTTTCTTAGGGCCCCATCCAGTACCTGACAAGAGTGAATTAAAGAAATGAAATAGGCTGCCATGAGAAACAGTGAGTTCATTATCACTGGAGGTGGCTAGAAAGTTGGAGTGAACCAGATAAAAGATAAGGTCAGAGTACAGACTTGATTATATTTATAGTCCTTCCCATGATTCTTATATTCTAAGATTTCCAAGAAGTTTGTAAATCTTTAACATATGATCAGCCTGTTCTCTGCCACCTATTTTACCTTCAAAATATATTTCCAGGCTATCCACTTCTGTCTATCTCTGCTACCACTCTCTTAGCAAAAGCCACAATCTTTTGGTATCTGAACTACTGTACTGAACTCCTAAAAGGTTTCCTTGGTTCTACTTTTGCAGACAATGTAATCTTTAATATTGTAATGAGATTAGATGGCCCTCCTGCTTACAACCCTTTAATGGAAAAAAAAAAAATAAGAGAAATAAAAAGTAGAAAGGAAGAAGTAAATTGTATGTTTAGAGCTGATATAATTGCTTTTCTGGTGGAAAAAAAAACAACAGGAGAATCAACTGAATAACTATTATAAATAGGAAGAAAAAATAGTTCAGTGATTGGGTTACAAAATTAACTCACAAAAAAACTAATATGTAACCCTCAAGCAAATAAACAATGACCAGTTTGAAAATATAATGAAGTAAATATCTTCATTAATGATATCAACAAAAAGTCAAATGTCTAGGAATAAATTATAAAAAATGCATAAGGCCTATATTAAAATGCTAAGGAATAAAAATGATTTGAATATTAGAAAGGCAACCCCTGTTCATGGATAGAAGATTCAAAATCGGAAACAGAATCTAGAATTTAAAGCTTTCCTAATATAAATCCAAACAGAATTTTCTTTGGATCTATATGAATTCTCAAATTCATATAAATGAAATAAATAAGAATACTAATAAATACTCTAAAAATAAAAGTCCCACCAGATATTAAGCCATTTTAAAGTTACAATAACTGAAACAGAAAAGAGATCAGTGAACGGAAGAAAATATCAAAAAATACAAGCAAATACACATAAAAATTTAATATATTTTAAAGTTCTCATTTAAAATTACTTGGGAAAGATGGCTTATTCAATAATATTTACATAAAAATCAGGATGTCCATCTGGGGTAAAAAATGAGCTTGGAGCCATACCTTATACTTTACCAAAAATAATTTCCAGATAAATCAAAGACTTAATCATTTTTAAATTTTTAAGAGAAAGAAGGAAGTATTGCAGGGTGAAGAAGAGGAATAGACTGTCACTCATATATGATGTAATTCTAGACACAGAAAATCCAAAAGAATCTACAGATAAATGACTAGAATTAAAAAGTGGGTTTAAGAAGATTGCTGAATAAAGGGCCAATATACAAATCAATTGGATTTCTACGTACCAACAACAAACAATCAGAATTTAAAAATTTTAAAGTTTCAAATACTTAGGAATAAATTCACACTAAAAATGTGCAAGATCTTGTCTATGGCCATGCTACCCTGAACAAGCCCCATCCTGTCTGATCTTGGAAGTTAAGCAGGGTTGGGCCTGGTTAGTACTTGGATGGGAGACCACCTAAGATGACCAGGGGCTGTAGGCATAAAAAAATAAAAAAATAAGGGATTATAAGCTGATGAGGTCTTTGCAATCTGTGAGGTCAACGAAGGGTTGCCTCGCCTAAAAATCAAAAATGTGCAAGATCATTACACAGGAAACTATAAACTTTATTAAGATAAATTAAGGAACTAAATAAAAGGAAGGCTATTCTATTTTCATAGATTGGAAGACTCAAATGATTATCTGTAGGTTCAATGCAATTCTAATCCCCCCCATAAAAAACTTATTTTGTTTCACTTATGAAACTTCATAAGTTGATTCTAAAATTTATAGGCACATGGAAAGAACCAATATTAGCCAACACATTTTTGAAAAAGAACAAAGTAAAAAAATAATAAAGAAAAAGAACAAGGTAGGATATCTATCAGATATCAAGACTTACTATAAAGCTATAGTTATTAAGTCAGAATGGTAATGGTGCAAGGAAAGAAAAAAGACTAATGAAATAGAACACAAAGGCCAGAAACGAACTGCCACATAAATAGCTGATTTATAACAAAGGTGGCACTTCAAAACAGAAGGAAGGACAGTCTTTCAGCAAGTGGTGCTGAGTCATTAGACATCCATATGCTATAAAAAGGAGACAATATACAAAACTCAACACCAGGTAGATTATAGACCTAAATACGAAAGCAAAACAATACAACTTCAAGGAGATACATAGGAGAGTATCTACCCTGAGGTAGATGAAAAGTTCCTAAACAGAACCCCAGAGAGCACAATATAGAAAAAGACTGAACAGTTGACTACACTAAAATGAAGAATGTTTATTTATCCAGAGAGAGCCTTAAGAAAATGAAAAGGCAAACTACAGATTGAGAGGAGATATGTGCAACACATATAATCTACTTGGATTTATATCTAGCATACAGGGAAAACACCTAGAAATCAATAAGAAAAATTCAAGCCAGTTTTATAAATGGGCAAAAATCTTTAACAGTCACTTCGTAAAAGAGGATATCTAAATGGGCACTAAACGTCCATCTTCAGGGAAATGTTAATGCAAATCACAATGACGTACCACAACACACCCACTGAAATGGTAAGTATTAAAAAAGAAAAAGAAGGAAAAGGATGTAGAGCAACAGAGAATGTAAGTCGGTTCAACCAACAGAGGAAATACTTTGGTATTAGCTATGGAAATAAGGTGCATGTACAGATACCTATGACCCAGCAATTCTGCTCCTAGGAATATACCCAATAGAAACATATGTGTATGTGCAATCAGGAGACATATACAAACGTGTTCATAGCAGCATTCAGCATTACTCATAAAAGCAAAAAATTGGAAACAATCAATATGACCATAAACAGTACAATGAATAATAAATGGTGACGTATTTTTATTATAGATTAGTATACAATGAAGAAACAAACATAACATATAGAGCTAAATAAGTCAGATATAAAAGGATATTGCTCTATTTTCGCATTCTTAAAGCTCAAATACAGGCACAAACTAAACTATTGTGTTTAGGAATTCATTATTATGCAGTTATAGGAAAGCAATAAGTCATTATTACGAAAATTCAGGATGGTGGTTAACTTTTGATGGGAAGGAGGGGCACAAGGGGCTTTGGCCAGCAGTATCTATTTCTTGATATTGGTGGTAGTTACATGAGTGTTTGCTTTATGATCATTCATTGAATTACATATATTTTTGTTAACCATTCTGTGTATGCATTGTATTTCACACTTTTAAAAGGCTTTTTAAAAAACCCCTTGGCTCTGGAGAGAAAGTTAATGTGGCAAAATGTCAAGAATTGCTACAACTAGGTGAAGTACCTATATGGGTAATGTAGTACTCCTTCAACTTTTTCGTAAGTTTGAACATTTGGAAAAAGTTGGAGAAAAAACTCTTTGATCTAACTTCCCCTGTGGCCACTGCCCCCATTTTATCCCTTTAACTTATGGCAAAATTTCTTGAAAGTGTTGTCTACATTCAGGGTCTCTAGTTCCCTTCCTCCAACTTTCTCCTGAACATACTCCCACCAGGGTTTTGCTTCTACCACAGCAGTGAAACTGTTCTTTTCAAGGTCACCAATAATCTCCACATTGCAAAATACAATGATCTTGTCTCAGTCCTCATCTTTATTTACTATCTGTAGCATTTTACACTGTTGAGCTTGCTCTGCCTTGACACATTTTCCAGCTTCCAGGACACTTGCGTAATTTTTCTTTACAGTTCCAGATGGTTCTTGCCATTCTCCTTTCCTGGTGTTCTTCATCTTCCCTGACCTCTAAATATTGGAGTGGCCCATGGCTCTGTCCCTGGAAAACACACAGACTCTTCAAATATTTACTTAAATGTAGTTTTTTCAGTGAGGCTTTCACTGGCCACTATTATCTAAAATTGAAATCCAACACTTCCTAACTCCTCTCTACTGAATGAATGAATGGATAAATGAATAAATTAAGTAAAATAAATGAAGAAAACAACTTCCTTCATGTTTAGAGCAGGATTCAAATAGACACAAAGAAGCGATGCCATCACTATCCAGGAATGGACAAAGAACCTTTCTCTTGATGCATCAACAGCGCAAGAATGGCATACTCAACATTCTTTTAGAGTCAACTTTCTGACAAGATCCATTTTTCTTCTGGATAGTCTGACCAGTTACTGAGGGATAAAGAGCAAATGCAGAAATAGTCCACCTGCACCAAATGCACTCTTTTTGATGTACTAGGTAGAAATGGCCTGAAGTGCTTGGTTATGCTCTATTAAAGATGACTGGCCTTTGAGATCCAGTAGTCTGTGCTTGAAACAGTAATGCTGTGTGGGAAGAGGAATGAGAGGGTGGCTTCCTGGTTGGGGGCAAAGTACACTGTGTGTCCTACCCACTACTCCATTTATTATTATATGTTTGAGAGCAGATCTTACAGCAAATTAAGGTCAGGTTTAAAGAAACCACAAAAAGGAAAAATGTAACTTGGCATGGAGAAGTTGGAGGGTCTGAGGGCCAAATCGTTTTCACAGGAGGAAGAGTCACTAAAGGCCAGGCACTTCACATAAATGACACCACTGAATCTTCATAATAACTCTTCATAGTAAGTTTATCATTCCTATTTAACAGATGAAGAAATGGAGGTTTAGAAATATGAAAGATTTGTTCAAGTTCACATAGAAAGTAAGCAGCACCCTGATTGAAACCTCAATCTCTTTGATGCCAAAGCTCATACTTCTCCCACCATACCTGGTAGCTTGCCTGTCCCTGCTTCCTCCAGAGAATAGTTCTGGACCCTCAGAGCTATGACACTGGAGATGATCACCACAGAGTTCCCTATGCAGTGCTACCTTATGACCTATTTCTCTCCATTCTCAGTGACATAGCCAGCTCTTCGGTAAAGGTCTATTGAAAAGTCTATTGAATAAAAGAATGAACAAAAGAGATGTCTTAAACAACATAGCTTATCTTGTGAATTACATGCTGAGAGCTAAGAACACTTAGACAGCTCCTGAGGGTCTTCCTCCCCACTGTAGTTCTCCAAGGAAAGGACATCTCTTCAAGAACAGTGCAGAAGACCTGGCAAAAAAGAGTCTGCAGTCAGTCTGGTGTTGTGCTTCCTCTGCCCTGACCTGGGTGATACTCTGATTGTAAAACCTGTAGGATTATTTTCTGATGCTATAGCAGTTGCCAATAACAATAGCCAGCATTTGTTGAGCAAATAAATACTCTGTGCTAGGCATTGTGCTAAGCCCTTTTCATGTTTTACTTTAATTCTCAAAAGCCTGAGAGAGAAAAAATCTATTATTTCACTTCACAGGCAAAGGAAAGGAGGTTTTGGCTTGTCTACAAAAATCAACAGCCAATTTGTGGGGCAAACACTGTAAAGTCCCTTCTTTTCTCTATCATTTCTTCTCTCCTTCCCTTCTTAAGATGTATGAAGATAATGCCTACAGACACTCAATTGTTAGAGGCATCAGAAAAACATTTGCTTAGTCAAAAGACTCAGATCCATAAGACATTGCAATTGTCCTGATGAATGTGGTAGGACAAGGCTACTCCGCAAAAATACTGTTTTTATAGAAGAGAATGTTAAGTTTGATATCAAAAGCCCTGAGTTTGAGTCCCTGCTCCATGCCTGACTGTGGGTCTTTGGTTGTCATTAAACATTAACCTTGAGGACCCTCAGCTTTCTCATGTATAAGAAATACAAGTAATACAAATCCTTTCTGGGTGGGCTTGTACTAAGGTTCAAAAGAGGAAATGTGATTTGTATAGAGTCAACCTGTCTATAAATGCTGATCATTCTTCTTCTGTTTGGAGATGAGCTGGACTTCTCCAGAACTATCGAAGCTCAGGGTCCACCATGCAGCCCCAGTAGAATATTCCTTGACATTAGAGCTGGTGACAGTGAGCTTGTATCCAGGATGGGACACAACAGTGCTGAGACTATCAGGACTATTGCTATATAGAGTTTTACTTTCTTCTTCTTATATGAACATTTGTTTATAGCAACAAAGAACTGGAGGCAGAAAGGTTTCTGAGTCACCAGGACTTGGGTTCCAGGTAGTGTACTATACCTATAGCATAAGAAGTAGGGTGAAGGAGACAGTCTGAACATGGTATCTTTCTCCACATGTCTTCTTTGATGTCTTTAAACAAAATTTTTGTCCTCTCCCTAGAGATAGCTTCATCTGTTACATTACTCCCAGGTACCTGATATTTTTTAATGCTATTATAAGTAGTTTATTTCAGATACTTTAAAAAACTATTTGTGGCTGGTATGTAAAAATGCAATTGATTTTTACATAGTAGTCTTATATTCAATAAACCTTCTAAGCTCTCATTAGGTCTAATAATTTTTTTTAAATTTATTTTTATTATGGTGACATTGGTCTAATAATTTATAAGTAGTTGTTTTTGGATTTTCTTTCTTCCTTTCCAATCCTTAATACCTTTTATTTACATAGTTTTCTTGCTTTACTGAACTGGCTAGGACCTCCAGGACAGTGGTGAATAATAAAAGTCTTAGTCTTTACCTTAAAGGTGAATTTTTCATCTTTTAACTATTTAGTATGATTTACACTTAAACGTTATCTCTTATCAACTTAAGAAAGCTTGTTTCCTCAAGTATACATTTTTAAATAGATATCCTTTTTCAGTTTAAGAAGTTCTATTACCCATTTGCCATGAATTTTTTTATGAATGGATGTTGACTTTTATAAAAATGTTTCTGCATCTATTTAAATGACTATATGTATTTATCCCATCAATCAGTTAAAGTATACCTTTTTGATTTTTAAAAATACTAAACCAATCTTATGTTCCTGCTATAAATACATGGATATGATGTATGTATTAAATTTGGTTTGCTAGTATTCTATTGAGGATTTTTGTATTCATGTTCAAAATTGAAATCAGCCTATATATCCCATTTATCTTTGCAAAGTGAGTTTTACCATTTCATCTTCCTTGTGACTCCTAAGAAGTTGAATAACTGACCAATGTCACAGAGAGCCAGTTGGTGGTTATGCGAGGGCTGGAAATCAGGTCTGTCTGAACACAAAGTCTGTTTGTTTCCTCTAAGCCACATAGTTTCTGTGATCATTTATCAAGGCTTTAAAACCAATTGCCCATCTCCTGAATATTTCAAAAACATAAGATTGAGGGGAGGAGCATGATAAGAACAATAACAGCAAATAGTCTTGGTAGGCTGTGCTAAAATTCTCATTCTCCAAACTCAAGGAAAAACAATTCATCTGTATTTGAGGAGAAAATGTAAAGCCGATCGCCTATAAGCAGCTACTTATGCAATTCCACAGGAATCAATTTTGTAAATCAGCATGAAAGAGAGAGGAAAACACAGTAGTAGTTGCTAGATCAAAAATATGGCATGAGATCATTCAGAGACCAAGGGTAATCCAAATTACAAAAATTCAATTTCTCAATATAAAAATATGGCTCCAGCTAAGTACTGTAATGTTCAGAAAATGTGTTAGAGTGAAGGAACCTATTGATTATATACAAGCTAACTTGAAGGAGAAATCTAAAATACGCTTTTCCGTTTTTGGATTTAAATAAACAAGGGAAAAATCTCATCAAGATAAAGGATTCCCAATGCAGTATGAAAAGTACATATTTGTTATGTATTTTTATAAAACTTAGAGAAATGTG